AGGGAAGGGAAGGGAAGGGGAGGGAAGGGAAGGGAAGGGAAGGGAAGGGAAGGGAAGGGGTTAGTTTTGTGTCTATCTAGTGAATTAAAGTTAGTATCACTTCTTTTTTTTAGATACGAGGTTATTTTTAACCTCGTATCTAAAAAAAAGAAGTGATACTAACTTTAATTCAATCTGGAAACCGTTTATGGTTTGTAATTCCGCATACAGCCTCCTGCCACATTGGAAGTTTGGGTTTCTTCCAACAGGAGGTTTTTAAAACACCAGATTTTGTCCCACTGGTCCTAAAATTAAGAATGGCCTGCTTCACGGTGGTTAGAAAAACATACTATTTTTGCACTTTTTGTCAGCCTCTGATTCAATTGCAACAGTCATTCTTAATGTGCTCCAGCGGCCACGTGATTATCTTTGCTCCAACCTAATATGATTTATAAAAATAGTTGTGAGCATTTCCTTCTTTCTTTCAATATTTTGTAAACGTTTCGTGTCATTTTCCTATTTTGTAAACCCTTGTTGCATTTTCGTTTCCTCTCTTTCTTTTCTTACCCTTTCGGTATCTTGAGAAATAGCATTCTAAAAATTATTCACTTAGCCACAGCAAACAAGCAAACAAGCAAAGACCGCCCCCAGCCACCGGTTCCCCATCGTCCACTACCTGCCAGGCCCTCCTGAGTGGCTTCGCTGCCTTCCGGATTCCCGGGGTTTTCTTGCCCCTCCCCACCGTCGCCTGCGGTGGCCCCGATCGGGCAAGGGCTGGGCTGGTCCTGGCTCTCCCCCGTGGCTCCCGCTAAGTTCACCAAAAGATAAGATGGGAATCAAGATCTTTTTCAGCACTTGGATCTTCTCTTTGGCCCTGCTATTTTGTCCCTCCTGCGGCAAGGTTCAGCAGAGAGGGAGTGCTGTGATTCATACCTCACGCTAAACTTGGGCTTGCTTGATCGTGGTTTATTTCAGAAAGCATTATCATTATTATCATCATCATCATCACCATCAGTTAGATTTAATATAGCTGGGCCTGCACGATCCACTAAGCCTGAACCAAACACAGAATGGCTGAAAGTGACGTGCAATCCAGGTCAAAGATTGTCCAAATCTCCAGTTCCGACATCCCAAAAGAAAGGGACTCCAGCACTCCTGGCTGGGGGACTCTGGGAAGTCCACAGATCTTACAACTACTGAGGTTCAGAAACACCGTTCTAAAGCAGTGTTTCTCAACCTCAGCTACTTTAAGATTTGTGGGACGTATCCCCCCCCACCCCTCCCCCCACCCCTGTGGGCGGGCGGGGTGGGGGGGG